TTCTGGGAGTTGAAGTCCACTCATCTTAAAGTGGCCACGTTTGGACAACACTGGGCTAGGGTATTGGGAGGCTGCACATGGGCAGCAGATTGCCCATCCTTGTCACAAATTATGGTTTACAGATAAAGCATACCAACCCCAAACTAAGCAAAACATGGCTTATGTGAACAAGGCCCATATCTATTTACTTGATCATGTTTTCCATTTTCTTGTTTCTTTTATAACTCACGTTAAGAGAAGAACATGATTCAGTGTTGTGTTTATGCCATATGTGTTGCACTTAAATGTTTTTCAGCAAATCAGGGTTTGAGTCCGTGCAGTTCTCAGAGGTGTGTACTGGCTCAGGAAGAACAGCTTCTGCAAACTGGAGACCAACAGCTGGCCAGACATGTGCTGCTATGCCTGCTTCTCATTGTGGGCCTTTTTGCTGTAAGAATTTCTTTTGTGGGAAGTGAGGTGGAAATATATGATTCTTTATATATGATTCTACTTTTACCCTACTCCTAAATTTCTCCAGCATTACAATATGTGTTTTTCATATCAGCAACTAGCATAATGTTGTATCTAAGGAAGTTAAATCTAGGCTCATTACATTTCTTAGAGCTGCCATCCTTTCTAGGAGCCTATTGCCGTCTACTTTGACACAACAGCCTGGTGCTACACAAGGCAATGGAGGTAATTTAATATACCTGAGTCTACGGAAGATCCAGGGTTTATATCTTGCAGATCTAGCTAGAGGTGTGAAGGGCCTGTTTTAGAAGTGTTTTTATGTGGACAAGAGATGGGTCATCAGTAGCTCTCCAAATGTTGAGCTCCACTTCTGATGGTCTCAGCTGACATGCCAGTGGTGAGGGATGCTGGGCATTAACATTATGACAACATCTGAAAGGCCAAAGGTTCTCCACCCATCATCTAGGTAATGCTGAATTAGATACTAGGCCAATTGTCTGATGGTGTAAGGAAGCTTCCTATGACTTAAGGAGGAATGATTCAGTAGACAATTGCACCTGTAATCACTGTATCTCCACCTGTCACGACAGTTACGTTGGCAAAACCATTTCACCCTGTCTCCCTAAACAGGGGGTGGGTACCTCTCAAAGTGTGTGCCATTGCAGCAGATTGTCTACTGACATTTGGCAGCAACTGCCCAACTACAGCAGTGTGCTTTTCTGCTTTCTTTTTTTAGAAAGAAAGAAAATGAAGGTATAAGAACAATTATGCTTTAAAACATACACAGAAAATCCCAAAAATGGAGGAGAGGAAGAAAGACCAACAGTTCCATTGTCACCCACTGATGTTATCACTGAATTATTGTCATGGTCTTGCTACCCCTTTCCAGAAAGGTTGTTCAGACCTGCAGTAAACTCTTGGTCTTAGTAATAGACTACAGGGGCAACTCACTAAACTTGGGGAGTTCTGATGGAAGAATTTTTCTGTCTCTATTTATGACCCAAAGGAAATTCCAGTGAAAGTTGTAGCAATGAGATACTCACTTTAGCATGTGTTCGTTTGGTTTTTCCTTTATAGAACCTATCAAGCTGCTTATGGTGGTTATTTAACCAAGAGCCTGGGAGGCTTTATGTGGAACTGCAGTTCTTTTGTGCTGTGTTTAATTTCGGTCAGGTAATTATTAATGCTCTGTCTTAAACTAATTATGTGAACTTGTCCATACTTATTTAATAGCATGTCTCATAGAACCCACATGTAAATATGTACACAAAGACTGGCATATGTTTGTAAGGAAGAGAGAGACTGCCTGACTTATTTTTGGCTTCTTTGTTTACCTTAAATTTGATGAAAATTAAACTAAAACTGCTCATTGTGCACTGACAAATTTTGCTGCTGCACCTGTTTAAAGGGAAGAACAATTCCATGCCAATAATTAGGGATGTTTCATTAATAGCCGCCATCCAGAGAAAGTATATATGTTTCCTCAGAGAATGCAGATTTTAACTGATCTACATGGCCAAAATTAAGGATTTAAGCCAGTCTCCTCCCTAATATGCTGAAATCAAGCTGACATCACACTAAAATGCCTAAGTGAAGTTTTAACCAGGAACTGAAATGATGGTCTTGTGCTAATGAAATTACACTGAAAAGGTAAGTTTGATAAGAAGAACCCCCCACAAAGGCAAATATGCTTCCTGAAAATATAAGCAGGTTGGAAAGAGGCACTGACTTGTCCCTTAAATAATCTTATCTTTATTCTTTTTTTATACTACGGAAGCAAAATACTTTCTGAGAGCTTCAATCTTATTTTAATTGCATTACCTTCCTCTCTTGGGATACCCTTTTTATTTCTTTACTATTAACATGCTTGTCAAGTTGTTTATTGTTGCTTTTCAAAATACATTGTTCATTACAAGTTGGTTTATAGACTTAGCCTTTCTTATATTCTTAAATTCTCCTTGCATCAGTACAGATAGTCCTCACTTAACAACTGCCCCATTTGGCATCTGTTCAAAGTTACGACAGTGCTGAAAAAAAATTTTATGACCGGTCCTCCACTGCATTCCTGCAGTCACTTGATCAAGATTTGGACGCTTTGCAACCAGTGGGCATTTACAACCATCGCAGCATTCTGCAGTCATATGATCGTAATTTGCACACTTCATAGCCAGCTTCTAACAAGCAGAGTCAATGGAGAAGCCGGCAGTAAAATTGCAAGTTGTGGTCACGTGATGTCTCGCTTAACGACCATGGGTGATTTGCTTAATGACCACAGTGGAAGTGAGGTCGTAAGTCCATGGTCAGGTGATGTCTCACTTAACAACTGCGTCACTTAGGGATGGAGTTGCCAGCCCCAACTGTAGTTAAGCGAGGACTACCTGTATGCTCATTTTTTGTTTTTTGTAAGTCATGTATGCATCATTATACTAGGAAGCATGGAAAATTAAGAAAATGTAATAGCCCTAGCCAAGATAAGCACACAGTTTAGGAAACTGATATGAGGGAACGGACATTGAAAGGGAAGAATGTTTTTGACTGATTTTGCAATCACAGAAAAGATACTGAATATTGATGCCTGAACGTTTTTCTGTTTCTTGGGCTTGATCCGTGCTATACTCTGGATTTTATTTAATGTAATGTTAAAATGTTTTAAAATAGGTTTTTATTCTGTCTTTTCATTAGAATTAGTAACTTAATTTCAGGAATTTGTATGCATCTAGAATCTTACTATTACAGTGTTTACTTTTTCTTTTTCAGGGATTCATTTCTTTTGGAATGTTTGGTTTAGACAAACATCTAATTATCCTTCCATTCAAAAGGAGGTAATTTTAGCAGTTTATACATCCATTAAATTTCAGCTGCCTTGAAAACTTTTAACTCTGCTGTTGTTCTTTTTTATAAAACAGTAACCTAGTTTATCTTGAAATTCTGCTCATTTTAATACAGGCAGTGAAGCAATACCTTCCTGACCATTGGACATCAATTTATGTTAATACATTCTGGATTGAGGAACCATTAAATAATATTGTTTTAATTAAATTCCAGAGTATTGATGCAACATATAGGCTTGCCTATGAGTCATTATCCATAAAATACCTTTTAATGTGGTATAAGAATTCTGCGTTTACATGATTATATGGGCTTGGATCCTAACTTTTTTTCCATGAATGAAATAAGAGCTTTCCTTCATAGAGTGTGACTTTATTGTCCTCTCATACAGTTTTTCTCTCCCCACCCCATTTACACCCCATTGCTCCTCTGTAAATCTCCTTCTGAGGGTTAGGGAACCTTGGCAACAACATTGGATATGGGGCAGAAGTAACAAATGGAGGTTTAAGTTGGCAGAGGTTGCTTCCTTTTCTCGAATAGAGAAGTAACTTAGGATCCATATATGTGTGTGAATCAGGTCAAAGTGTACTTGAATGTAGGAACAAGAGTTCTTTCTCATTCAACTCCTTTTCAGTTTAATGGCCAGCTTAAAAAAGTGTTTCAACTAATTTAATTCTCCAAGCTCGTTGCTTCAAAAACCTGGTCGTGACACCTTAACTGTACACAGTAACAATAAAACCTCACCGGCAAAAATATTTAAAATCAAATCCTTATATTACACTTTTTCCCAGACAGCATTTGAAATGGGCTTTTTTCTCACATAGGTTTGAATTCCTTTGGGGTGCTAGAACCGTGGAACAGAGAGAATCATCTGTCCCTGAGGAAATTCGGATGACATGCCAACAGTTCGTTAATTACCACAAAGACGTGTGTGTGAGAAGCATTGTCCAGGATAGAAGGTTGTTAAATGATGCGTTTTGGAGTTTTAGTGATATTTTTGGAAATTTGGTGGCATTCTTAATCTTAAAATCTTCCCTGTCTGAAGTCCTAAACTGTCATTCGCCACTGTTTCAACATATTCATGTACTGTGAGTCTCAAATTTAGAATTGCATATATCCCAAAGTTTCCATTTTGGGATATAAAGTTCTGGGAAAGTGGGGAATAAATAATTATTAAATATTGTAACTGTTGTCCATTTTACAACCATTTTTAAATTTTCTTTATATTTCTCGAAAAACCGACTTTATAAAAAGAAAAACATATTGTCCTTTAAACCCTGAAATTAATCACTATCACTGTTTGATATACACATATTGCAGTAAGTGATATATTATATACACCTTCTTCCCCTTTTCATCTATATATCTCTCTTGTCTTCTCAGATGAATGCCTGGCATTAGAACTCTAATGTATGTTGTTGGTCCAGCACTAATTTTGTTATGTTTCCTTGTTCCACTAATCAAAATTAACATTTGCTTATTAATTAAAAGGCTGAGAAGATGGCCTTCTATCTTACATAATCTGTATGTTGGCTTGGTCTAACTTTAAATCACGGAATAGTTGCTTTCTGTATGACAACATTTAATTAGACATAAACCCTACAGTTGTACAAAACCAGTTGGAGGAGTGCTTCATGCATTTTCTTTCTATTGACTGAAATACTGAAGTAGCACATCCACTCAGAGGCTGCTTGTGACCACACCAAGGGATTCCTGACATTAAGTATGTATGTGGATGTACAGATGACAGTTCTCTTGGAAGGAAGACTATTTTTATACTTGAAAAATAGTTATATAATTGTATGGAAAGATAGTTTGGCCTATCACTGTTGGCACATAATTAATAGAGACATGTTAGATCATAGAAACATTTTCCATGAGGAGTGCATTGTTTCATTGCTGACTACAATCCTTATCCCAATCATGTGTAGGAGAGCAGAACATTTCCTGAGATTCTGAGCATTGGCTTAGAGGTGGTGTTGCCAGGTTGCAGGTAGTTTTCAGCTGACTCTGATTTGAGAAAAAACACTTCCTGGAATTTGAAGTGAATCTGGACCAATTATACTTAAACTATTTCTCAAGATCTCTGTGCATTCGTTAGGTTAATAAGCATTTTAGGACTAGGAGGCCCAAATTTAACTTACAGAGCAAAGTGATTTAATTCTTCCTGAATTTGTTCCTTTTCAGATTAAAAATGGAAGACTATGTTATGAATGTTTCCTCCATGAAAGAAAATATCTTGAGCATATAAAGCCAAGAAAGCATTTAATCAAATGCCAAACCAAATAGCATTTACTAGAGCTGAACATGCTTCAAAAATGATTCAGGAGACAACTGCTGTAAAGAACTGTGGTGAGAAAAAAAAGCAGCTGTTTTAATGAGAAGCAGCTGTTATCTTTTTCCCAGCTACTGCAGAAACCTGAAAAAGAATATTTTAAAGACTCCTGAGCTCTCACGCATTCCCAGAGCATATTTTCAGAATAATTTTTGAAGCGTGTACAGCCCTTGAATAGAGTATTGGAGCCTTTCACATACTAGATTAGGACTCTTCCTTCCGAAACAGAGTTTTACATGGTTATCATCTAAAACGTTACCACTACCTCTTCTACTACTGTATGTAGTTTAGATGGTAATCTGACTGAAAATTAATGGCAGACTTTTCTGCATTTTCCCCGTGCTTTTAGTACATAAGTGTCTAGAATAGGGATTCTAAAATTATAAACAGTGAACTAACAGTTAATAATTTTACACTAATTCATATAATATGTTGCGCATATCCTAGTTTTCATAGATGCTCGCATGCATTTTGATTAATGAAAAAGGTGATCCAGATCTGGCAAGAAGAAAAGCCGCTTTAACATATGCTTGGCTATTAGATCCTCTTCCAACATACTTCTAACTATCATGCTGTCTTTCCTTGTCTCCCCTTGTCTTCATCCAACAAGCAGTGGTGGTACGAGATTTACAGAACATATGGGTGAATCCTTCCTTTGACATACAGGTGTGGCACAAAGACTGTGACTGGAGTCTTCTTTGGCTGTGATCTGGTGAACTGGCTTATGGAAGTTGGCCTTGCCTTGGACCGTGGGGAAGCTGTAGTGTACGGAGAGAGGCTGGTGAAAGGAGGCATTATCCAACATATTACCAATGACTTTGAATTTCGGGATGAGCGATTGCACTACTACTTTATAGCTACGAGAACTGCAGCAAAGGACAGCCACAGAAATGAAGATGCCCTTGGAAGCTAGCCAAGACCAGACTCTCTGACTGACATCTAACGCATACTGTCTGAGATCTTTTTGGTTATAATATGGCTGCGTTGATCTCTAACCCAAAGAGAATTATGTCTTGCATTCTGAATGTTGACTAAAATGAGTTGCTTCAGGGAATTGTTTCAAATTGCGGAAGGTGTATAACACACTTTGTACTCAGTTTTATTTTTTGAAAGAACAGTCGTTTTTAAAAAATCATTTTCTTTCCTTGCCAGTACAGACAATACTGTGGATAAACCAACTCATTGTTATCATGTGATGCATTTTTTTTTAAAAGGAAGGATCAGCTAGTAGGTCATTTTGGTGTATGCAGTTCTCTTTTGTTTTAACAATGAAGTTCTCTTATTTATACTTCACGGTAACTGTGAAGATTGATGTCTTAAAGGATAGAACTGAGAAATCAGCAGATGAATTTTGCTGTTCATCCTGATTCTTATATGAATAAGCCAATTTTTCTTTTTAAAGCCTACAGCCTTCTGCTTATCAGGCTGTTTAAATCTGAGTGAGATTTAAGGCACCATAATTGTGTGCAGGACTTCTTGTTCAAGCATAATTTGTTTCATAATTTTTCCCCTTGGTTTATTGATAAATTGGCTTATGACTACCAAAAATGGACCAATTCATTTCACAGAGTGCAATCAGTTGGAGTCTGTGGATGTCATATTTATTTTGTACTTAATACTAAATGCCTATTTTTAAAAAGCCAAATATTTAAATTTGAATACTATTGATATGCAACTTAAAGAACTTAAATTGACATCTTGTTAAATATTGCAATACAGATTTGAAAATTTTTAAGTATTCACAGGCATATATATGTATGTGTGTGTGTGTGTGTAATTATAAGTTTTCATCTGTTACAACTAATTGTAACATTTTTAAAAGCATACATTTATCAAAAATTCTGGTAATTTTTTAAATTATTAAACAGCATTATAGAATAACGGGAAGGCATGAACATCTTATTGGCTTTTTTAAAATTAAGAGTGCTTAAATATTTTTCTGAAAGTGGTTCGTCAACAATATTGTTAGAAGAAATTGTCATGTTTCTTCAACTATTATAAGATCCGTTGGTTATCTTTATTTAACCACTAATTTTTTACCAGATGCATGGTACGTTTATGTGTGGGTATGTTTTATATTTATACAAATATGGATTATATTTGAAAGCTGGGCTTATTGAAATTATGTCTATTAGCTTTTAAAGAGTTAGCTCTAACACCCTAAAAATAATGAATCTTTTCATGGTCACATTCTTACATATTGAGACATAGAGAAGTTTTTTTTTTTTTTA